GCGTATGCCTGACCCTCTGGCTTCACTTATTTAAAACGGACGAACACGACAAAGAGCACGACCGAAAAAAACAGCCGAGACACCGGGTACCCGCCGATCCACCTCCGCGTGTCTGCGAAAAGGCACAAAAACAAAGAAAAACTACGGGAATTCCACCGCAGACTAAACATATCGAGAAAACGCAATCAAGCAAAAAACTAATGTGGGCGACAGGTGAAATACGAAACATCATCTGCCGTCGATCACACGCACGTGCTAAGGTCATTGATAGTGTGCAAGCGGCACAAGCCTCACTCCCAGTGCCTGGCCCTCTGGCTTCACTTAATTAAAACAGACCAACACGACAAAGAGCACGACCGAAAATAAACAGCCAAGACGACGACCGCGTACCCGCCGATTCATCTCCGCGTTTCTGCGAAAAGGCACCAACCAAAAACCAGATATTAACTTCGGGGAGATCCTGACAAACGGGAATTCAAACCCCCCTAGGCTGCGGATGCTAAGCTACGGGTGCACCATCACCAGAGGGGTCACCCCAAGTACGTTCTTAGCAAGTTAGGCTCCGCCATTAAAGTCGCCTAACTTAGGTCGGCGCGACCAGGCTTCATTTGTCCATGTTGTCGAGGAAAGTAGGTAGCTCGGTCTCGTCGATGATTAGGTCTTCACCGCGCTGGAAGGGGGTCTCCCGGACGATGACACCGTTGTCCTCGTCTTCAGACGAAGAGTCCTCTTCGATGGAGTCGCGGGGCATGAGGTCTGGGCGGCCATCATCTGCGGAGATATGAAGAAAAACAAAAAAGTTGATGGCGTCGTGTAAATCGAATTGGCATGCAAAACGGAAAAGTGTAGGTGTTTGAATAGGGCTCAGCAATTTCTTTTTCTTTTTTCGTGTTCACTTTTAGTTCCAGTGTCCGGCGTCTCTCTACACACAACATCTTGCCTCGAACTCTGAACCGTGGTCACACAGAAGACTCCTCTACCTCTCACCCCTCCTCCGGCGGTGCTTCGCCGATAGTTTCTACTGTGGGAGGAGTATCGGCCACCTCCTTCCACTGTTTACACACGCACTGGGCGCTATCAACTGGCTAGAAACGAGTGCGAGAGAAAAAACTCACTTTCATGAGGAAAAGTCGCACACGCTGGGATTCGAACCCCTGAACTTGCCTGCTAGATGGTTACGGGGATACCAACTGATCCACCGGGGCGACCGTCATATAGGGCTGGAATACCATTCTATAAAACATGGGGTTAGTTGGGATAACACGCGTGCACGCACCTGCCCACGGCGCGACGTAGAGAATGTTGCCACGGTGGTGAAACTGGCTCTTGTGCAGAGTGGCGAGAGGGTGGCCGAAGCGGCGCACGCCAGTGGCGTAGTTGTACAGGCCGTACCACAGTCTGTAGAAAGGGTCGAGCGCGCACGGAACGAAAATGTCACTTTTGGACAGATGATCATGTGGAGAAACAATGAACAACACATGGAGCCTAGCCCAAGATAGAAAAAAAAAATGCTCGCGGCCGACACTGAACGCGGGAGTCCCCCCCCCCGGTATTTCCTGGCCAATCATACCTTCAGCGTACGTCCCCCACCCATGTTTCTAAAATACAATGACGCTGCAGGCACGAAATCGAGGACTGACTATGGATACAAAGGAGTGCTTTGATTCTCTATTTTTTTTTTTAATGTAAATTATCTCGGAAACCAACCTCTGTTTTTTCCTATAGAATATGATGCAAATAGATGTGCGGCCTCGTGCGGGCGACGGCAAGCGTATGACACCACGAACTTACGCCTTTTGGAACATCTTGTACTTGGGCTCGCTGAAGCCGCGGGATAGTGTCGTGTGGCCCCGGGATAGTGTCTTTTTCATGAAAGAAAAAACATCTCCCCCTCTTAACCATTTAGCCCCGGGGAAGCGTGTTTTCAAAAGCAACAGCCGATATATCCCAGGGGGCTAGGAGGGACAACTTACGGCTGCGCTGCCAGCATGGGGATGAAGTTTATGGGTTGCTATGGGTAGAACGGGTGTGTCCCTGTGCCATAATCATCGACGCACATGAACCACTACGAAAATTGACCTCCCCTCTTTGACTTTTGTACTGCTGGTCGTACACTCTGTCCATCTGATGTACGGTGCGTGGGTAGTGTTTCTTGTTCTTCTCCTCGAAGAATACGAGCCCGCGGGAACGTGCTTTAAAGCAGAAAAGACAATCTCTCCCTCGTAACCTCTCCCTCGTAACCATTTAGCCCTCGGGAAAGTGCTTTAAAGAAGAAAAAAACAATATCCCCCCCGGGGCCACGATCCCGACGAGGTTGATGTACGCACCTGCTGCGTGAAGTCCGAGACGAGCTTGTCTCCTCCGAATACATGCATCGGGCGCAGGTCCCTACGTGCCGACGCGCTGTGTGCTGAGATAATCTTGTGGAGGATGGAGTCCATGGCCTTGACAAACCTCTGCGCACGCGACAACGAGCAGTGGGGGGCACAGGGGTATGTCAAAGCGTGGGCGGACAGAGTAGGTATTTTGTCTCCATTGGTAACAGTTTGTTGGTCTACGATCAGACAGGACGCGCATCGAACATCGACCGTGCAAGAGGCAAAGCCGCCGCATAAAACTTGCTTCGCTGCAGCGTCGCGTGGCGCTCTCCTAACCCATGTGATGTAAAATTCGTGAGAGCTTTCGGGAACACCCAGCAACCGGTCTTGCTTCGTGTCCAATAACAGTAGTGCTCCGACCTGCATGTCCTATTTCGACTTCAACGAAGCGCTATTGTCAAACGACCTATTGCTGATGATACGAAACCAAAAACACTTGCCACGTCCTTCAGCTCCATGTCCCTCATCGCAGCCTTGGCCGCACGGAACAGGTCCGGCAGGTGGCGTAGGTCAGGGTGGCTCTTCGCTGCGATGCGGACGAGGTGGAGGCAGAGGGTCACCATTGCCTTCCGCGCGTCGGAATGTACACCAGCCCTTGCCGTGGTAACGCCGTCTATGAACTCACCTGGGCGCAACGGAGGGGGGGGGGGGGGGGACGGAGTACGGCGCAAAATGGGGAATGTAAAACAAGGGTAGGATGGAGGGTAGGTATAGCATAGGCTCTAGTGTCCAACGACAAGTACGAAATAGTCCGCCAGATAGCCTGTGGTGGGGGCATGCATCTTTTTGCGTCCCGTCCACGGTAGAACCTTAGAGGTAGGGGCGGGGCATCCAAAGAGAAAACAAGCTGACCCCGAGGCTATTTCAGCGTTCTTGTGTTTGTTGCCGTCGAAACGGGTGGGTGCGGCTGCCTGGCGAGTGACTACGGTACGAACCACCTAAGTTAAAGTACGAGTGCAGCAGGTCTAATCAAATACTTGTCGTTTTGCCCTACTCACATTCCCATGTCTTTGCGCCGGACTGAGCCTTGGGGTAGACCATGGCGCCGACGGCGACGAAGGGGTTGTTCCTCGCGCTCGGAAGCTTCCCCTCCGAGAAGCGCTTCTTGGCGTCGCCCACGAAGGCGTAGCTGTACGTGACCATGATCCGGTTGATGACACCGTTCGTAGACCTCTCTCCCTTCACCTTCTCCCTCGATCCGTTGTTGCCACTGCCGTTGTCGCTGTCGGGTTTGATCGCCTGATGGCGGACAGGGTTGGCGGCAAGGGTGGAAATGGCGGACGAGGCTGTTGGTCAGGTTCAAACGGGAAGCAGACATGACATGTTGAAGAGTACATTAACGCCGAGAGAGCTCCATCATTCGTTGATCATTGCGTACTGCTGTTGACTACTAGGTATNGACTGAGCCTTGGGGTAGACCATGGCGCCGACGGCGACGAAGGGGTTGTTCCTCGCGCTCGGAAGCTTCCCCTCCGAGAAGCGCTTCTTGGCGTCGCCCACGAAGGCGTAGCTGTACGTGACCATGATCCGGTTGATGACACCGTTCGTAGACCTCTCTCCCTTCACCTTCTCCCTCGATCCGTTGTTGCCACTGCCGTTGTCGCTGTCGGGGTTGATCGCCTGATGGCGCACAGGGTTGGCGGCAAGGGTGGAAATGGCGGACGAGGCTGTTGGTCAGGTTCAAACGGGAAGCAGACATGACATGTTGAAGAGTACATAAACGCCGAGACAGCTCCATCATTCGTTGATCATTGCGTACTGCTGTTGACTACTAGGTATTTTCGCTTGTGGTGGCCACAAGGCATATACAGACTCCAAGCGAATATCACTTCTGCAACGGCAGGAGTGTGCAAGAAATTGTGGATTGCAAGCTACTGCAGTGTACGCACCCAACAGAGCTACGATACCCAAAGAGCCATTCTTTGGCAAGTGAAGTTTTTCTCGTCTAGCTGTACTGCGGTGTACCTAATATATCAAACATCCCCAAGAGCCAACCCAAAGCAACACCATGCTCAAAACATACACCGGATCGAACATGTCCAAACGCAACATGAGACGAACTCGCCCACTTGCATGCTGGAGCCAATCAATACATGAACATACGTGCGCCCCAACCACATGGCGCGATGGCAGCACGAAAAATTCTCACCAAGTACATAGAGGGTGCCGTCTCGTACATAAGCATCCCACAAAGCGCGGCCTTGACCAAGGGGGTGGCTGGCTTGATGANATTGCAAGCTTCTGCAGTGTACGCACCCAACAGAGCTACGATACCCAAAGAGCCATTCTTTGGCAAGTGAAGTTTTTCTCGTCTACTCAGCTGTACTGCGGTGTACCCGATACAACAAACATCCCCAAGAGCCAACCCAAAGCAACACCATGCTCAAAACATACACCGGGTCGAACATGTCCCAACGCAACATGAGACGAACTCGCCCACTTGCATGCTGGAGCCAATCAATACATGAACATACGTGCGCCCCAACCACATGGCGCGATGGCAGCACGAAAAATTCTCACCGAGTACATAGAGGGTGCCGTCTCGTACATTAGCATCCCACAAAGCGCGGCCTTGACCAAGGGGGTGGCTGGCTTGATGATGCGGTGAAGCTCATCTGCCGTCGAGGCTCGGTCGACGATGATCCCGCGCGCACCGCTCCCGCCGACGCTTGCTGCCCCGTGCGCCCGGGCGGCGGGTGCACCGGCGGTTGACGCCGAAGCACCACCCAGACCCCCAGACCGGGCCGTCGGAAAGTGGTTTGGAGATGCCCGCCGCGGGAGAGGGGGGTTAGTTGGTGAGAACACAAGGTACCCATATCCTTCCATTCGCGGAGCCCCCTCAAGTCTCCACCTGCTACTCACTAACTGCCATATCGGAAGCGGGCGCGGGAGCGCGGCCGGTTGGTCCAATTGCTGGGCGCGAAGCAGTTGTGCACCAGTGTGCACATTGTGGTACGGAGTTCACAGTAAGGCGCGAGCGGGACCGGTGTCGATGCCGCTGGAACCCCTTCGGGAATCTCTCCGCAGTTGCCACACCGCCACATGCTGCAGCAACCACCACCCCCGCTGCCATCAGCGGACAATCTGCTGCGGGCTGTTCTCTCCACGCCGTGAGGGGACCAGGGAGAGATCCGACCTTAGAGGCCCAAGGTGCGAGGCAGAGGCAAGAATGTTTGAACGTTTGAACAGGGAGCGAGATGGGAACCTCTATTTCGCACGGGTGGTGTGGTTTTTGCGCGAAGTCTTGGGAGCCGTTCTTTCGAAACAAAGGTCGCCGTACAATACGCGTGTGGGATACTGGCCATTCCCTTCGCCATACCCAGGTAGTGTGTGGTCAAAGACTAGGCGCCTTTCTGCAATACCGACGAAGTTTTCGCCGCACTCTACGGCATTATATGATTTCGCCGCACTGATGCGTGTTGCTTGGCGCCACCACAGAGGTGTGTATGGGAGGTGATGTCTTGTCTAAGCTGTTCTGAAGGAGTATTACTTACCTATACAACGCACTTGGTCAACACGGGGGCCCGCCCCCCCCCCCACTAGGCGGCGGGACCGGAGGACTATGGGTGTGAACTGTAGAGATGATGAAGGAGGACAAAGAACGTGCGGCGGCAAGGCAGGGACTTCAGCGGGTTTGCAGCCCATGTCTGTCTAGTCATCTCTCTCTCTTGTGCACGCTGCCGACAGCATCAGACCTCGAGGAGAGTCTGGACCTACGTTCGGTGCACGGGCAGGAGATGACCCCGGCTCGTGTGGCAAATGAAGATTTGTATTGCCAACCGAATCTGTCGTTTGGTCGCGCCTGTCCTACCAGGACATAAAACGCTCCTTCGCGTGTGGGTGTAGTCTATAGATGTCTATTCGTGTTCATGATTCGCAATCTAACTGTTTTCGTGCTGCTCCCGAACGGACAGAATCGGAAGGAGATGATATGCCGGACAGCGCACACGAGGTGGGCGCGGGAGGATTAGAAGGTGCCGACAATGGCTCAGGGGAGGGGGACGATTTTGGTGGAGGGGACGAATTTGGTGGAGCTGAGGATGGATCAGCTAGCGGTGGAGCACACGAGGAAACCGGCGGCGCCAGGGGTCTCGGCAATCTCATGGGGCGTGTAGAGGAAGTAGAGAGAACGGTCGAGTCGAGCGGGAGAGACACGGACGCCGGCGACGAGTACAGCATGGAGGACGGGGGGGGCGTGGAAGGGGACGACGGGTTGAACGACGAGGGATACGATGATTTTCAGGGTGACATCGACTACGAAGGGGGCCCTGTGGAACCTGAGGTATTCCTGCTTCCAGAAGATGGTGGCGGCACATCGTCTGCTATTCCCAGATTAGAAGTGCTTCACACGATGGCGCCGTCTTTTGCTTCAAGCACTACCGTGGAGGGTGGCCCCGAAAAGTTGAGATACAACACGAAGGCGGCCGGTTCTCCTTTCTACCCTTTTGCGACGAAGGAGCAACAACTCATGTTCATCTGGATACATGTGCACCGGATTCCGCAGAGGGCGTTTGGAGGGCTACTCGAAATTTTTTCGATGGTGCATGAGGGTGAGCCGTTCGACGTGAAAGGGCTCGCAGGCGTCAACCCGGAGCACTTCTATAGTCGCATGCGGCCGTATTTGCCCCTCCTACAGCTTATTAAGCGGGACGTCCCTTCAGCAGCAGACGAGACGGCTTCGTCTGCCGTGTTCGACATCCCGGTTAATCTGCTGCTTCATCGTACCATGCAGATCGAGTCAGAAACAGCTCTGTCGGAGACCCATCCGGGCGGGAAGCTCTTGCGCGGAGAAGAGATCGAAGCTAATTCTCTCACGAGCGAACACGTCAACTGCGTGCCTACACGGCGCGAGGGAAACGTGATGAACTCCAATCACAATGGCGCTCTCGCAAAATCTACGCCGTTCTTCGGGTTTGACGGCATACGAGCAAGCGTGTGTGGGAGAAAAGTATACGTTCACGACTGCTGCGCGTGCGAGGTCGGGGGGTGCTTACCCTAGGTCGGTTGATGGAGATTTTCTACGATGATGTACGCCGTTTGGTGCTAGTAAGCGTACAGCTGTTTAGGACGGCGGCCGAGGTGCGGGGCGTGGGCGAAGAGGAGAGACGAGGAGGGTTGTTGCGAGTGTGGGAGGACTGCTCCCCCGGCAGCGGTGTGGAGTTGGAAGCTGCCAAGGTTCTGGGCTTGGTGGAGATGGAGACGCCGCAGAAGAGCAGTGGAGACGGCGGGCACCCCTTCCCTTGGGACCGCTTTTACGCGGAAGGGTTTGTAACAGCGGCCGGCACTAAACGCCGCCACCAGGGCGACGCCATGCCGAAACCGTTCAAAGTGTCCGAGGCGCCCTGGCACGCGGAGGGGACGACCGATAAGCCGCTCTTTGGGGTGAGACATCAAGGCGTACACCTCAACGACATGAATCTTGCCTTCTACTCCGCTCCTGTGGTGTTCAGCTGCGGTGCGTTCAACACCTGGGGGTTGGGAAACAAGGTGAGAGTGGTTATGTCCTCTCCGTGAAACTCAATGGCAGATCAGTGCTGTAGATGTTGTAAGAGCTGTAGATGTTGTAAGAGGCCGAAGTATACTCAGGGCCGTACCCCGAGTGGACGACATAAATTGTTCAAACATTCAACGTGATGAAAAATATCGGGGGTTGTTTTGTATTTTTGTAATGAGGTAATGTTTGGTTTTTGGGACGGACGAAATAATAATGTTGGGGGCTTCGTGTCTTTTCTTGATTAATTTGTGGTTTATGGGACGCTTTTTTTTCCTTCTTTTTTTTTTTTATTTGATTTTTGGTTTATGGAACGCAAATTCGACTCCCTCATATGTCCTCTCGCATGGTACATCTTGCTCCGCAGCATTCCATTGGAGGCTCCTACTTTGGCTGGGGTTGGCGAAGCCAAGCGGTGCNCCTCATATGTCCTCGCGCATGGTACATCTTTCTCCGCAGCATTCCATTGGAGGCTCCTACTTTGGCTGGGGTTGGCGAAGCCAAGCGGTGCAACGATTGAAAAATCAGACGCACGTCGGGATGCTCGCGACTCCCGGAGCACGCAGTGAAGGGGAGAATGGTCTACAATGCGAAATACTTGGACTGCTACAGCAAGGGTGTCTTGGGCGGCGTGTCCTCAGAGACGAGCAAGGGGCGATATCGGAGGAAGAGGTACGGTGGACAATTGGTGTTGTGTAGTATTTCGAATCCTCACCCCCACTCTATTTGTAAGCGATAGGCTTTCGTAAGCAAGCACCTGCGGAATCGCCCCGCGCGTCAGCGCGAATTCGAACCCACCCTGTCGGGATGTCGTGCGTGACACTCTGTCGGGTCTTCTGTCCTTCGGTGTGTTCGACGATCAAGCCAAGTCGTNAGGCTTTCGTAAGCAAGCACCTGCGGAATCGCCCCGCGCGTCAGCGCGAATTCGAACCCACCCTGTCGGGATGTCGTGCGTGACACTCTGTCGGGTCTTCTGTCCTTCGGTGTGTTCGACGATCAAGCCAAGTCGTCCTTTTGCTGCAGGCGTTGGCGCGAGGTTACCTTTTTATTCCCCATGGATGGTCGGTCGAGGCGTCTACGTTGACGTAGATGGGTATGGTTTCCTCGGGCAACGCCGTGCGCATGAAACGCTTGAACGGACTCGGGTACCAACACTAAC